TAATAAATAATAATATATATATATATATATATATATATATATATATATATATATATATAACTAATATATATCAAACTAGGAGGGAACACAATATTAATTAAACACTTTAAATGCTATTATTATTATTATCATTATTGTTATTATTATTATTATTATTATTATTATTACAATTATTACAATTATTACAATTATTATAAAAACTTTTCTGATCTAGTCAAAACTGAGTTTACCTCAAAGATGCCTTAATACATGTAATAAGCTTACACAACAACGATCACGCACATATTCTACCTTATCTCTCTGCCCCTGCATATCGAGAGGTATCTGAGGCAGCTGCCGTTTCTTCGGCGACATACTGTCGTCTGGAGTGCCTTCTCCCTCTGAGTGGAGCCCCCTACCTCTGCAACACAGCAAGACAATTATAAGCATCATCAGCATTATCCTCGGCGACTCTACGTGATAAAAAGCGACAGAACTGGATGTGCTGTGTTTATAACTAATAAGACACCAGTAGGAGTCACCAGAACTACCTTTGTACCTAGGTTGGCTACCTTAGTGAAGGTCTATTGTGCTATACAATTGCATGTGTCGTTTATCCGACATATTGACAAAAACAACAAATGTGATCTCCTAGCATAATTATTGATCTCTCCAATATGACAACTCCCCTGTAAGTAATCAGCGGCAGTATGAACAGTGAGGACTAGTGGACAGCGTGGTATATATACACGTAGCCAACACTAACTGCAAGTGCACTGCTTTCCCACTTAATCGACTTGTCATATTTCTTGTACCATATCTGCCATTTAGAGTGCGCAGGCGGATAAACAGCCATCATTAATAGCAGCCCCCACACTGCAACCAAACATAATCCACCCTGCCCACGTGTCATACAGTTATTAGCTACTGGTTGCTTAATTCCCGGGGGATATTGGTTTGCCTCTGTGGTACGTCAGTTGTAGGTGGGAGGCAGATATACATTCACATTGTAGACAGATGTATGAGATGAAGCCATGGCAATGAGCCGCTATCATCCTTGCGGCATCCGCTCGTCATCATTACCCTTCGACAACACCTCTCACCACGAGAAGACGAGCGATATTTTTACGTCGCAAAATATCAAAAACATCTCCCCCAAAATCCCTGCCCCAGCAGGGCCGTACGCAGCAGGGGGGCAGCAGGGGCAGTTGCCCCCGCCCTAGAGATTTTCAGAGTATGCCTTTTAATGGGACAAATACTGTACACTTTTAGAAATAAAATAGAAATGTGACAAAAGGTTATCTTAAATCATCAAAGAAAAATTACTTTAAATAAAGAAATGTGAAATTGCGAAACTTTAGGGCACAGGGGGCATGGGGAGTACCTTTGCCCCCCTACAGAAAATTTCCTGCGTACGGCCTTGTGCCCCACCAATCGTGACTGAGAGCATGAGGCTCACTGAGAGTCACCCTATTCTCGTATCATGTTAGAGCACACTGGCGTGCCACAGACGACAACGCAAGTAGTCACACGTCTCTGACTTCTTAGCTTCACGGCCAACACCTAACATCGAACCTGGGGCCTGTCGTCAGAAACAAAATTCCTAACCTTCCTATAACAGTAGCTACGATTACACTTAACGTTCACCTTTTTCTCATTAAATGTTGACAAACACACGGTAGAGTTTGTCATACGCAGCGCGTAGAGGTGCGGCCTACGAGAAAAACTTAACACCAATGTCAACACTTACACTGGTGGTCACTACACAATAATTCTGTTCAACTTGTTTCTGACAACGAGCCCATGGTCATCCAACACTCAGCGTTTTCATGACTACACAGGGGGAGGCGGAGCGACAGCCTCCCTCATCCTCACATGTCGTAGCAATGATGATGTTGTTCTCACCTCATCTCCAGCGGGGACATAGACCGCTGCGCGCTCTCCTTTAGCCGGTCGCGGCGCGGCGACTTCGCCCGAGGGGCGGCGTGCTGCTGCTGCTGCTGCTGCTGCTGCTTGCTGTCTCGCTCGCTGGGCATGGGCGAGCGCTGGTGACGTGGGTACGCGCCGGGCTCGGGCACCTCGAGCCGCGCACGCAGCTCCGCCTCGCGCTTCTCGGCGGCGATGCGCTCCCGCTCGTCCCGCTCCACCACTGCAACAAACAAGCGCGCGTGCGAGCACGCGTCGTCAGAACGAGTCACCGTCGCCTCCACACGCCTCGAGGGCGAGTCGCCCGGCGCGCGAGCGCGAGAGTCGGCTACCGCGGGGACGATCGCTGCCAATAGTCGACAAGTGCACGGCAAAACTCAAATCGGTCGTCGCGATTCTACGGACGACCCGGCTGACACGACGAAGCGTCGGCAAGAGAAAAAAGAACGTGGCACGACTGTTACGACGACGGCGTCTTACTCTTGCGTCGGTATATAAGAACGCGGCGCGAGGCAGTGTGCCAGCTTCTGACATTAAACATTGTGCGAGTTATTGGCAGCGAGTCGGCGTACGCGAGAGAGAATGATGACATTACGGCTGCATCGCTGCTATATTGAACGCGCGTGCTGTTTACATTGTCTGCGAGAGCTAGCGACGGCTAGATGACATGCAGTCGTGGGAAAACACATAAATTATGCATGGCTACGGCTAGAGAACTCGGGTGCTCGTGCGCGCGAACAAACGAACGAGCGCTGCGTGCACACGCGCGTTCGTGTGCGTGCGTGTGTGTGTGCGCGCACACGTGTGGTAGTGTGTGTGTGTGTGTGTGTGTGTGTGTGTGTGTGTGTGTGTGTGTGTGTGTGTGTGTGTGTGTGTGTGTGTGTG